TCGGCATCTTAATAGAGAAAATTTCAGGCCCAAGACTTCAGTTTCAATATCTTTGTATTTGTCATGCATTTTAAGGAAAGGTAAACACAACAAATAAAGCGTAACATAAAACATTGTGAAGTCATTGTGATTTAGGTTTTTTCACCAAATTCTGAAAAGATCCTCTTCTTTTTCTTCGAGATATACCAACCATGCAGTGAATGGCAACTTCAGTCTTGGTTTCCCTAAAAACACAACATACAAACAAAAAAACAAACAATTGAATAAATACACAAGTGCCCCACACCAGCTGTGCCATGTACCACACTCAGCACCATCTTAAACTGGGCAGCACTGCCAACAGTCACACACACTTCCTGGGCACTGGTTCCTCCCACACACAGTACAGCAGTTCGTCATGCGTCTGAAGGCTGTACAAGCTGCCTTAGGGGTGGGACTGTATGGCATCACATTTGTCCAGTCTGGTTTTTGCCCCACCTGAAGCCAACCACACACCCAGGAGAGTTAGGCACCTTCCTCCTGGGCCTGAAGGAACTCCTTGGGGCTCACCACATCGAGACTGGAGGCAGTGGTGGCAGCTGCAGCGGTGCTCCTCTCCACTTTATCTTTAAGACGGGCACAGTGGCAGCACTCCTCAGCAGTTCTGAACACATTTTAGAGTCCTTCCAAAAATAGAGAAATCATACAATCGTTTCTACCCAGTGACCAGGTCATGTTTAGTGGAAGTGGAGGATAAAGAGTTTTCTTACCACAGATATAATTCAAGCAGAGGGCGACGGTGGCGATGTGCCACAAGTTCAGGGAACTCCAATTCCCAGGAGCCCTCTGGCTGATTAGGCCCAACCTGACACACCTGTGGACTCCTCTACTTAAGGCTGTGGCAAACAGCAGCCCTTTTTCACGCCTTTGTAGAGGGGTGACCGGTACAGTACTCAGCCCAGGTGGGTATTTAGACGAAAAGGAAAGAGGAAGGAAAAGAAAAGAGGGCTGGAAAAAAAAAGAATAAATGGCCCCAAAACTGCTTAAAAGCCAAAAGGAAGGCTTAAACCAGAAACGGCTCTGTACAAAGGTGTTTGTTCCACAAAGAGCAAACAGGTGAAACATAAAGCTGATCTTCCACTCAGAATCACAGAGGAAGTGTCTTTTGTTTCTGATTATCTTTTACTTCCCTTTTCTATCTCAGCCTTTGTTTGAGCTGTTTTCAGTGTCCCCTTTGTTTGCCTTTTCCATTCGTTGAGGCGTTTTTCCCATTTTTGAGGTTTGAGTCTGGCGCTGAGCCGCCTCAACCCCAACATTTAGAATCACTCAACGTTTAGTTTCCCTCTCTGCACTTAGGTCTGCCTCTCTGCTGTCCGATAACAATTTCTTGTTTTGTGGAGTGTGGGTCCACTTATTTATTTATTTATTTTCATCCAGATGAAGAAGATTCTCAAAAAAGAGAAACTAAACAGATAAATGTAGCAGAATATAGTGGGTTCTGTGTTAGCAAATTGTAGCACTGTTCCGTTCCCTCAACAAATAAGATAGATAACACTCTATTAATCCCCAAAGGGAAGTTAGAGTGTCCAGAAGCACACAAAACAAGACCAACATAGAATACACATAGGTCTGGTAAAACAGAGGCTGGAGCCGTCTGCTGCTCATTGTACTCCTCTGTCCCTGCAGTGTTTTGTGGAGTGAGAGGCGTTCTTCATGATCACTGACTCCTCTGCCACCATCCACCTCTCCACCACCCCTTCAGCGTCTTTTTCAACCCCCCAGGACTGAGCCAGCCTTTCTAATGATCTTGTTCAGTCTATTAGTGTATTATTATGTATTATTACACATCTCAGAGATATACATGAAATTGGAGATGTAAAAAGTGAAAAGCCAGGGAGCAAAAACAGCCCCCTAAAGAAGTTAAAGGAAAGGCAAAAAATAATATATTTATTAAGGTGTATTTCTTTACTAAGTTTGTTGGTATGCATTTAATAGTTAAACAGCTGACAGTCAACAAGGTAAGTGTGCTTTGCTCCTTAATCTTGCTGTAGTTCAGACTTAAACTTGGTCTCTGTTCAAAACAATCATTGTAATTAGAGGGAAATTCAAAAGAGAAAAACATCCACAAATGCATTTAAATATATTTACTCTCATCTTCTCTGAAACTGCTCAATAAATGATTGCTTGACAGTTACCTCTTAGCTATCTACTTTGGTGAGCTCACCTTGCCTGATGTCCTAATGAAAAAAAGAGACGCTGCTCTGTCTCCCTCAGTAACTGCGTGTTGTAGCACTGGCTGCTCCTGAACTAACAGAGTGTGTTGTACAGGCTGGCTGCTGGGCTGAGGTGAAGTTCACTGGGTTGTAATGGCAGAAACACATTACATTACATTAACTGTTTAAAAGAAATCTTACTTGCTGCACTGAATCAAGTCCTGTGCTTCTCTATCAGCGTGCACTTGTTTCAGATGACAGCAAATGTGGCTCTTCGTTAGCTAACCGAGCTAACTGTAGGTCATGTTGCTACAAAATATTCACTGTTTGGCACTTTACGATCCTCTTGTCTCTGAAAGAAATCAGAGAATTGGCCTGTCTTCTTTTGCATTCTCTCTGTCTCTCTCTGCTGTTTTAGGTTGTGAAATCCTGATTTTGTTTTCATTTTAACAGGTCAGACATGGTGAAGAGCCACTAACTGCCCTCTACAGCCAACAACGAAGAAGTTACACACTAGAGGTGTTCACCAGGGGATCAAACCACTTTCATTTTTGAGGCAGGAGGAAATAACGAACAATAGGTAGATAAGCAGAACTTAAAATATGATCATGGAAAATGCAGAGTAGCTGCACAAACTGGGGCCTGCCGGATAGACGGTCGGTGATCCAGGATACCAGGGCAGTGTCCACCTGTGCCAAATTCAACTTGTCCCTCAGCAGGAGGGGCTGGATGGTGTTGAAGGAAGTAGTGAAGTCAAAGAACATGACTTTCATAGTGCTCCCTGCCGTCTTAAGACTGAGTAAGTCCTGTGCGACAGGTAGATCATGACACCCTCAACCCCAACACGTGGCCAATAGGCAAACTGTAAGGGATCCAATGCCACGCCCACATGAGTCCTGAAGTGACTAAGGACAAGCCTCTCCAATGACTTTATAATCATGTGATGTCACAGTGCTAAATCTGATTGCTCTCTACTACAGACTACCTCAGATTAGGTTAACAAGACCATTTTTTGGTTCTTAATCTGGTCAAAAATTTGTAAAGTCTAAAATCTGAATCTTGGTGCCAGATGATATCATAGCTCTGCCTTTCAAAAAGAAAAAAATAATAGCATGTGTGGTTTGACATTTATGGAGGCTTTGACCCACACATTCTTTCATAGCTCATGTTGTGAGGTTGGACAAGCTTTACAGAAGAAAAATCCCAATTAGCCTAATGAGAAACTGTAGAACAGACAGAGTTTATATCACAATACCTACATTTAGAGTCAGTTATTCATTCAGCCTAATGAGAAACTGTTGTAATGTTGTAATTAATAATGTGATCATACTGTTGGATTTATAAATAGCTGTAACTATCTAAATTTCAATTCATAAGACAGAAGATTGAGGAAATTGAGTAGATTTATTCATATCAAGACAAACATATGGGAAAACATTGTATGTGTAAAACAAAACTAGGAATTAACTATGTATGATTAACAAACACAAAGACAACACAAGAAACAAAAAATGGGTTTGTTTATAAGCTTAGCTTCATACTAAAACATAGACATTCCTTTAGTCCCTTTGAAGACCATCATCTTTTCTATATTAACAAACTGTGTGGTGATTTCACAAAAATGTATTTAGACAGCAGAAAATGTACAGAAGCATGTCCACAGCTTTGCATCAAGATGCAACCACAAAGATGGTTACTGCAATACTTTTTTTTAACATTCTCAACATTTACGCTGTTTATTAAAAAGGCTATTCTTCTCATTTCTTGAGTATTCTTTAGTTTACCCAAATTAACACTTTAAGCAATTTTATTAAAAACAATGGAAAACATTCAGCTATTGTAAGTTTCTCCCCATGATCTTTGAAAGACAGTAAAGTGTTCTGTGTGAGATGCATTACAAATCTCTGAATTTTAGGACTTTCCTGTGAAATGTGAGTCAGGCTCCTCCAACAATACACAGATACAGCTTTTCTGTTCACTTCTTTACTGAAAATATCTCTGGATATTTAGAGTATAGAAGTAAAAAATGACACTTGAATGTTATAAGACTGAAATGTCCATGTTTAAATTTTTTGCAATAAATTGTAAATATATAGTATCACTACAGTATGATTGATATAATACTACAAATCCACAGTGGTGCTAGTGGAAAAAACAATATACTAGAGGTGGTAATAAGTTGAAAACAAAGATTCTTACAAGAATTCGGCATTAAACAAAAATGTAAAAATTAAAAGCTGGCAAATACCATTGGAAATACATGCCAGCCATTTTAAGGCTGTGTGCACTACTTCGAGTTCAAAGTAGGATTCTTTTTTTTTTCTTTTTTTTTTAAGAATTTTGATATTTAATAATAATTTGATATCAAAATAAATATCAAAATAGACACTTATCATTCACATTCTGAAGACTGTGTGAATGATTGTTTGATGATTTTGTACTGAGATTTTTCACATGTTCTATTAATGCTTTAAGTATAATAGCAGTTTTTAACCAGTGGTGACAAAAACAGAATAACTCCACAATTCTGTCTTCATACAATAGATAAAGTAAAACATCTTGGACCTACAGATTTAGTATATCTGTGCATTAGCAGCCATAAATGATTCAAACGTTGTGTAGCCAACATTTGAGTATAGTGATCGGAAGAGCTATCACTAGTTTAAACTAGGGACAAACTGAAACACAGCCCATTTTCAACTTAAAAAAAACATAAATTTCGACAAAATAAACACTATAAAAGAAAATGTGCCATAACTTTTGCAAAGATCACATTTAGTCTTTTTTTTTTCTTTTAAAAAGTAAACAAACAATAATTGATTAAAATGTGCTGAAGTTTGTTTTCTATAAAAGTTGCTTTTTTTACTTATTCTACTCAAAAAATCAACACAACGTGGAATTTGACTGGGGAGCCCAAAATTTAAGTTTAAACAGAAAAGGATCAAAGCCTGATTTAAAAACACATACATAGACTTTTGACTGGTACTGTGGTAAAAGTAAATAACATGACCATCCTATTCATTCCTGATGTTGGAACAGCTGTTTCTCATCCATTTAGCACATCACATTTAAGTGGACTCCAGCCAGCCAGCAGAGACCCACTCTGTTTGACATGGTGACTGTCCATCCAGATTTTTGCTGCTGTCTGTGACTTGTCATCCGATATTCTTTTATATAAAGACTTTTTAAAGCAGCCATCCACACTGAAAGGAAAAAAAGGAAAACAATGTTAATATTGTGAGATATTGTATTATGCTTTACTGTGTGTAAGTATGCAGTATTCTACAGTAACCAGTTATTACAAGTGTATTTAGAAGGACTACTTTCAATGTTTATACTTTCTGAGTATGTTTCTTTTCATTTATTGGAATGTAATACATTGCTGAGTAAATTTCAGGTGCTACTTCTGGGTAAATTAATATATTTACCTTCTGTTTACGGTGTGGATCGTTTTGTGAATCAGTTAGCGTCTTCAATTTTGTATTTCCAGGATCGAACTTGGTCTCACTTCAGTTTCTGTAGTTTACAGAACTTATAGCTCAGTAGAGAACAGATCGGATTCACTCCAGAGTTTCCTAGTTTATTCTCACTCAGATCCAGCTCTATCAGGTGTGAAGGATTTGAACAAAGAGCTGATGATAGAGCAGCACAGCCTTTCTCTGTAATACTGCACTTATTCAGCCTGTAGACAGAGAGGAATTGTGGAGAAAAGATTAATGAGATCTTTCTTTTCTGTGATAAAAACCTGTGTGTAGATTTTAAGACATTTCAGTAAAGCATACTTTAACCATTTTTTTATTCATTATCCTTTAAAAATATATCTAAAAGTTGTCTCAATCTTGTCATCTTGTGTAGGTGACAGACGTAAGTTTCTTTAGTTATCATGTACCTAATAAAATAATAATAATAACAATGACAAGTGCAATAATAAATTACATTACGCACTTCAGTATCTGAGTTCTGCAGTGTGAATCCTCCAGTAGATCAGAGATCTTCTTCAGTTCTGAATCTCCTTGTATTTTCCCACTCAGATCCAGCTCTTTCAGCAGTAAGGGGTTTATTCCTAGAACTTTAGTCAGAACATCACAGACTTCCTCTGCAGTAGAACTGTTCAACAGTCTGAAGAAAGAGAATCACATTTTTCACAATTTTACATTGACTAAACCTCACACTTCTCTGCTACTCTGAATTCTATATAAATGTACATCTCATATGATTTTTCCTTTGAAAATAACTTACACTTTTAACAAAACTACACATAATAAATAAAGACCCAAATGTCATTAATTAAAGGAAAGCAATGGTTGAAAAAAATCAACATTTACATGTTCATCATATATATTTGTTTTTTGCTAGGTTGACTGGGAAGCTATAACGTAGAAACTGTTTACCTTATTGTCCATAGCTTACAGTGTGGATCCTCTAGTAGATCAGTGAGCCTCTTTACTCCTGTATTTCCAGGATCGTTCCCTCTGAGATCCAGCTCTTTCAGGTGTGATGAGGGGTTTGATTTCAGAGCTGAAGCCAGATCAGCATATCCTTCCTCTGTTATACTGCAGAATGAAAGACTATGGAGAGAACAAAAATGTATTACCTTTTAGTGAAACACAAGACAATATACCACGTTTGTGCATGACCCAATAATGAATATGATAAATACTTACAGAGTATATAATATACAATATAGAAAGTTTAATTTTAATAATATGGCCTAAAAACAAAGACCCTCTGAATACATGGAGGTAAATATCTTGAAGATGTACTGTTTATACATTACTTGCATTAAGTAGATGTATTGTTGATATGTTACATGAAGTAGACTCAATATGGTACTTTCATTAAGCAAAACCTAACCTTACCCAACCCTACCCATAACCTAACCCTGTAGCTGGCCTTACCCCTACCCCTAACCCTAACTCTAATCTGAACACAAAATCTGATCCTAATCCTAACCTTAGCCTCAATCTAAAACCTAACCCTATCTTTAACCAAAACCTAATCCAGTTATGCTTCAGATACAGGATGGTGTCAGTGTGTCTATACCAGCTTGTTGAGGATGTTGATGGTCTGTATTAAACCTGTTAATGTTTTGTTTCTCTCAGATTAACATCTACAGATATGAATTTTCTCTGCTCTTCTCTCCAATGTTGGCATGGTGGTTTTCTTGAGACACTCTGACACTCAGAGACTGATACAGTCTACTTAATTAGAGATTAACTCACTTCAGTTTCTGCAGTTTACACTTTGCATTCTTCAGTCCTTCAGAGAGCTGCACTACTCCTCTGTCCTGTACAGGATTCCTGCTCAGATCCAGAAAAGTCAGCACAGAGGATTCTGAGCTGAGGACTTTAATCAGAGCTGAACAGCTTCTCTCTGTCAGGTTACAGTTACAGGTTACAATGAACAATTATAAATAATGCAAATAACAATTTTAATAAGGTCAGGGTGAAAAACAGTAAACTTGTCCTTTAATAAAACATATTTATTAGATATCTAATGTCAGCCATTTTTGTTTAAAAAATAGAATGACAACCATAGTGCTCAACGTACATTATCATAAATCATAATGCAATTATAACACTTTAAAATATATTTCCTTATATAAAGGATTTTTACTATACAATTGGAATGACTGGAAATGAATAGTATAACTGATTACACCACCTGAAATTGACAGGCATTATCATGGACACCTATTTTAAAATTTGACCTTAATCTCAAGATTAAGTTTTTTTTTTTCAAATTAAACTGTATATTCTTATATTTCCACAAATATAAGAATAAAAAAAAACCTTTTTATTTGAGAAAGAAATCTGAACAAAACTTACTGCCACCTCACAGAATTACACCCACCATGAGGGTCCTCAGGGGTCTGTTCAATGATATAATTTACTATTCCATTATTTGTTTTCTTATTGTATTATCAATACAGATCTCTGCATGTTGAATACACCATACAGATACAGGGAAATTCACTCAAATGAGCCCCTGAATATTCTGCTATAACTCCCGTTATGATGAAGCAATCTGAACGAAAAAATATGCTATATATCTTGACATATGTATAATCGACTGCATTACATGTGATGCTGGAAGTGATCTCAGTTTTCTGCCAGACACATGAAGGGTATGGGGGTCTGCACCTGTGTGTGTGTGTGTGTGTGTGTGTGTGTGTGTGTGTCTCTTTTATATATATATATATATATACACATATATATGAGAAACAGGTTTTACTTACAGAGCTGATGTGGCTTCCTTGACCACCGGCAGCAGTCTGATAAGACAATCATCTGATCTGATGAACTTTTTTAAGTCAAACTCCTCCAGCTTCTCTTTTGATGTCAGCAGCACAAAGACCAGAGCTGACCACTGTGCAGGTGAGAGTTTAGCTTCAGAGAGACGTCCTGAGCTCATGTAACTCTGGATCTCTTTCACTAGAGAATCATCATTTAACTCATTCAGACAGTAGAAGAGATTGATTGATCTCTCTGGAGATGGATTTTCCTTAAACTTTGACTTGATGTACTCAACTATGTCCTTCTGGCAGTCAGAACTGCTTCCTTTCTGGGTCAGCAGACCTCGGATGAGCTTCTCATTAGACTCCAGAGAGAGACCCAGAAGGAAGCGAAGGAAAAGGTCCAGGTGTCCATGGTCACTCTTCAAAGCCTTGTCTACTGCAGTCTTGAGCAAATCATTGACTTGTGTTTTTGTGCACTCCTGTGATTTAGATTGAAACATTCTTATTATCATTTATGAGAGAAACGTACACAAATACGGCAGCAAGGAACTCTTGAATGCTGAGATGTACAAAGCTGTAAACTGTGCCAAGAAATCTGCCTGTCTCCTGAGTACACAGTCCTGAGTACACTGATATATTACTGGGGTCAATTCAACAGGCTTCTAGATCTTCTGTGTGGAAGATCAGTCAACTTTCCCAGTGACAGAAGGCCCTCTTTATCCCATGGTATGTCCAAGACATTCTTACCAGTGTACTTCAGGTTCCCCTGTACGGTCTGAAAGATCAGAAAGCAGGTGTACATTTCCGTCAGTGTCGTTGGTGTATTTTCCCTCTCCGTTTGTTTCAGAATTCTCTGAAGTACAGTGGCTGAGATCCAGCAGAAGACGGGGATGTGGCACATGATGTGGAGACTTCTTGATTCTCTGATGTGATCAATTATTTTGTTGGCCAGTTTCTGATCACTGATTCTCTTTCTGAAAGTATTCCTCTTTCTGCTCATCAGTGAAGCCGCGCACCTCTGTCACTCGGTCGATACACTCAGCAGGGATCATACTGGCTGCTGCTGGTCTAGTGGTTATCCAGATCAGAGAAGAGGGCAGCAGATTTCCTTTGATGAGGTTCGTCATCACAGCGTCCAGTGGGGCTTCTTTTGTAACATTATTTAAGATTTCATTTTTCTGGAATGCTAAAGGAAGCTGACATTCATCCAGTCCATCAAAGATGAACAGGACTTTATTCTGATCGGTTAATCTCAGTCCTTTTGTCTCTGGAAAAAATAGATTGATGATCTTCATCAAACTCTGACTTCCTTTCTTCAGGTTCAGTTCTCGGAAGGGAAGTGGAAAGATGAACTGGATGTCCTGGTATTCTTTACCTTCAGCCCAGTCCAAAATAAACTTCTGCACACAGATTGATTTTCCAATACCTGCAACTCCCTGGGTCAGAACAGTTCTGATGAGTTTGTCTTTTTCAGTTAAAGGTTTAAACATGTCCTTGCATCTGATCTGTACTTCTTGTTCCATTTGATTTGTGTCTACACTGTTTTTTCAATGAGTCTCACTTCATGTTCTTTGTTGACCTGTCAAGCTCCACCTTCAGTGATGTACAGATCTGTGTAGATGGTGTTTAAACTGCTGGACTCTCCTTGCTTTGCAATTCCTTCATGTACATGATGACACTCATTCCTCAGTCTTTGTTTGGATATAATTCCAATCAGTTCATCTAATTAATCAATTATAAAACAAAACAGAGACAAATAAAAGTTAAAAAAATAAATGTACATCTGTGAAATGGTACAGACACATTGTACAGTATCTAATCTGTAATTTCAGTTATATTTGATCAAATATGGAAAGCAAAGTGGCAAAAATAAAAAACAATTCCCAAATGTATTATTGCATGTATAATTGGAAAATATCATATTCTGTCATGTGATTGATTTCTTACTTTGCAGTGCATCAGCGAGGTCCTCATGTTCCATGTCCTCTAAGTAGAAAAGTGTCATTAAGAACTCCCTGTCTGAAATCCCATTTGCTTTGCTGGACTTTTCTGTAACATTGTGTGCTTTCCTTTCTCAGAAGCTTCTTATACATATCCAGCTCGTGCTTAACAAGCACATTATTTTCCTCTCAATCTCCTTAAGACAAAACAAAGATGTAGAGAAAATTAATTAAATATGATAAAACAATGAATGGAAAATTATATTAATGTGATTCAAATTACATAACACTGGTTCATGCAAAATTCTAAAATTTGAAGTGAATCTAAAATCATTAGATTCCACAGATTTAAAAAAGAGTTTATAGCCCAGAACTTTTACCCATGTTTTGGTAATTGGTTGCTTTGACACTATTAAAGTACAGTACGTAACAGCAACATTTTTACACTATAGTTCAAGGGTATGCAGTTTCTATTCATAGGAATTACTACATAAAGCCATATTAGAGAACTAAGAGTGATTGGACAGTTGGCTGATCAGTTGCTACATGGCTGTGTAACACTGCATCATGGTCTATTGGATACTAGACGCGACATTGGCAGTGGAACCTGGTGGTAATGATGATAATGAAAAAACATTTTGCTTTACACTGAAGATTTTGAAGAGGTCTTTAATCTTCTTTTGAAGCTTGCCACCTGTCCCGGTAGACATTGACCTCCATTGACCTCTGCAGTCAAAATAAAAGTGAAAATGTTCAGTATAGTCTTTTCTGACCAGCGGCCAGGTAGTGCTGCAGCACCCACTACTTTCAAGACTGTTGAAAAATTGTTAATAATAAATAAAGAAAATACCTCCAAAATAAAATACTATAGCTGACCAAAGGCCTATGCTGTGTTGAGTGAGCTGTGCAGAGCTGTGTTGTCTTTCTCGACACGTTACAGCAACTGTATTATCAGTGTCATCTCAACACATGCACAGTTTGATGTAAATTATCAAAACAATTCAAATTGAAACAAGGTATTTTGCATAGCAGTTAGTATGTCACTGTGTATTAAACTAAATCAGAAGGAGAGAAGAAAGATGTCTGAAATCTACATATATAAGTATATAAGCATTTTAACTTAGCAGAGACTGTAGATCTAAAGTGAAGAACAATCCAAGTTTCTTGGAACTTGCTGTTTCAAATTTATGTCTCTATTCTCATGACTTTGCACTCTAAATACCAAATAAAAATAAGTTTTAATCATACATGCTAATTTCCTGTCTTCTTTAAAGACAAAATTAAAATGTCTGCCCTGTCTACTCATTTTCATGATTCTCTTCTAACTGTTATCTATAGTCTTTGTGATGTGTTTACAATTATTTGGTCTTTTCTGAAAAAAATTGAGTGGGGCAGAACTAAATGTGCCGCAGGTGACATCAGATCTGCCAAAGTGCCGAGCAGCGTTAGCATTATGTATACTCACGTTCCTCTCCCTCACACCAAGTGATCTCCCAGATAAAACTCCCAGTAAGCAGCCTATTTAAGCTTTTCTACGTGTTAACGGTGCTTGTTAAGAAGGTTTATTAGATTTCTGTTTGTAGCCTAGCAAACTGCTGCTTCTTATCTGCATTAACCACCTGTTCGAGGATCCTGCTGTAAGTGATTAACTTCATTTCTGAGAGCGCAGTAGGCGGTGGTTCACCTTAAATGCAAGAATAAAAAGCTAATATGTTATCTACCCTGCCAACATCAAGACTCTCAGTGTTTCCTCTGAATTTTATTTTATAGTCATGATAGAAATTTTTCAACAGTGCCCACAAATATGACAGTATCCACTCATAACGAGAGCCTGTGTGACCTCAGTTTCAGAAACATGGTCCAGCAGTTAGCTATCTAGCTATAGGTTATGGATATATCGTTAGAGCTGAGAGTTCAGATATTGAACACAATATGTGATACACCTGTCATAAGATGAAAGCCAAAATTCTCAAATTTTCTACTAAATGTAATTAGATTTCGAACATCCAATAAAAAAAAAAAAAGTTTTGCACATTTTACTCAACATTCAAAGAGCGTTCAAGAAAAGCAAAGTGGTCTATTTTCATTTGGGTGGTGCTCAAACGTGTAGGGCTAAACCATTGCCACTGGAGCCGGGTTGTTTACATTGCCTGGGATACAGTACTGCTGATCATTCTGCATTCTGACATGTCTACACAGTTAAGAGCAGGCTGGCATTTTTGGAGTATTTATCTACTAATGAATTGCATTAATTTATACATATTTCTTGAATATAACATGGGTAAATATTTTTTTTTTGTGGCATATCTACTTACATATTTACAATCAAAACAAAAATTGAACCATTTGAAACCATGTTGACAGGGGCTTTAAG